CATCAAAAACAAGATTCACCAAAATGCTCCCAAGGTTGCCAAAGGGAACAGATATTTTCTCTCTCCATCTCAGTCTCCAGGACCAACACAAGAAGAACTCACAAAACTTGTGTGCAACTAAGTGTAAACTCCCAAGGATGAGTGACTAGAAGAGAAACACTTACATGCCAAAGGTAACCTAAAATGGGACAGGTGAACTCAATTGTCTTTAACTTGCATCTACTGGGTTGCAAATATAAAAGAAAAACAATCCCACCAGAAATTCTCAGACTAGGAGCTCCTTGGGGGCAGGGTAGGTACAGCTGTCAAGCTGGTGTTTGTATCCCTAGCCTAGGTAACTGAACTTGATTCACTACCCCTTCAGTTACGAAGATAGAGTCGGACAATTTTCTTCTTATAGTGGGGGAAAGTGGAGGGAAACTGACAGAAGTCTTTAACTTCTGAAAGCTACATCTTGTTTCTCTGTTCTTCAGAAAGTGTTCCCTTCGATTGGTGGGAGATTTCTCCACAAGGACAAATTTCTATAGGTGTGAAAACAAATCTAGTCTCTTCAGAATTAAGTCCCAAAACTCTAAAATCCAAATAATTCAACTCTTACCTACACCTAGAAATCAAAACTGTTAATGAATTTCACCTGATATGCACAAAGAGCTTGTCCTATTAAAAAAAGTTTACATTTTAAGCAACTTCACCACCCCACGAAGTAGGCTTACCTTTCAACCAAGAAATGATGCTGGCTGTCAACTCTAGCTTCTATTAGATTTCACATTTCATTCACCAAGGACATTTTAAGTGGAATTTAACCTTTGGCAATAATCCTTGCCAAATTTCCCCCCCTTCCCCCAGATCCAAGTTCTTATTTGAAAGGTATATTTAGGCCACTATAACTACTCTTTAAAAAATTAGATGTGAAAAGTTATCTATGAACCTTTGTTCTGAATAAAGTGGGAGATTGGGAGGGGGGAGAAGGGTAGAAGGAGGAGACAGGGAAAGCTATTCTCTAGACCTAATCTTAGGGAATGAATGATTATCACAGTTTAAGGGGAGATTATCAGCAGAGACAGTGTCCATATTGATACTATATTGCATTTTTTCCATTTGAATGCAAACCTTATCTTTTGTTTAATAAAACATCACTTTATGGCTTTTGTGAAAGTCCTAAATAAAATTATCTACTACTCCATGAAATAGGATGCTATTACACACATGAACCCAACACTTTGGTAATATCTCTCTCTATTCAAGGAGTCTGTCTGAAGAGGCTGCCATCTGACACCTCTCCCATGGTCAGAGAGCAATAAACAACAATTAGGTACTTAGGAAAGGGAAAAGGCCATTTTCATGTAATGACTGCAAAAAATGAATAGTCTTTCCCCCCTTATTTCAAAAATTAAATTGAGTGCAGAAATTAAATGTAATAAATATTATTAAAAGAGGGAATGCTCTGACAAAAATGCTGGGTTAATTTTAGCATCCTTCTGTTTAGCTGCTTAGCAACACTTATCCTATGACCTTCTAAGCACCACCTACTTTTTAAAAGGATAATGAACAGAATCATCAAAGGGTTCACCTCTGAGAGTCTCCAGTGACCATGTTTTAACCACTCCATATGATAATAAAAATAACAGCCCACATTTACACACATTTCTTTCTTTTAGTGCTTTACAAAAATTCTCAAGTCTTAAATTTATACTACCAACAGGATCATCCTGAGTCCCTCAAAAAAACTGAGAAGATGAAAAAACTTTTTTAAGTAGGAAATCACGTTATATGAAAATCTTAAAAAAAGAACTTCTAATTCACATACCATCACAGCAAATGGGGGAAAAAAGGTATATGAGATAGGGTTTGTCTTGGAACTTACTAACTGGACTGGATACAGACATTTAAATATTAGGTTTCAGTGTGACCTTAAAATCCAAAATAAAGACCAAAGAAAAGGTCACTTGCTTGATGGTACAAACTTTTAGGAATGGATGCACCACCTGGACCAGCTGAGTCAAATTCACACACTCCACCACACAGTAAACAAACTTGTCTGTTAAACAAGTTCCACTCTAAAATTCTGATGAGAAAAAAAGTTATGTTAAAAAAATCTAAAACAATATAGTAAGATGTCATTTATTTTTTCATAACATAGTAAGCACCAGAAGCATCTTCCATTAACTTACCTCTTAGAAAGAAAAAATGCAAAAAAAAAAAAAAATTCCTTTTTATTGACAACCAAACTTTAAGAAACAAGAAGAGTATCTATATTTTTTCAATGATTGGAGAAGATCTGGTTCTGGCTGATTTAAGTTTTCTAAACAACCCAAGGTGAGGTGTGGAATTGAAGAAAATTAAAAATAAAGAAGGTGGGTTATCCTTATACTAAAGAATAGGAAGCATTAACTGCTTTTAAATGGATTAAGTGATGACATTCCAATTTTTTTTTAAGTGAAACACCAAAATGGGATCTAAAGTGTAGCAGGTAAGACAACTACTTGTGAGCTTCAATAAACCTTAAGAGGAAAAGTTGTGAATATCCATTTGATTAAAGAATTAATGTCGATCCATTCTGTTATCAATTAAAAACTAATTTATGCTAAAAGACTGGATTTTAGGACTTTGTGCATAGTCATAAAAAGTTGAAAAACTAAAGACTCTAAAATTATCATGGCTCACTTAAGCATGAATTACTTTAAGCATCCTTTAAAATCATTCAACCAAAACCTCTGTGGGAGTCTCCAAGGAATGGCAGGAACTAAGTATTCTAAAATCACAGCTTTCAGCCAAGACCTGTAACTTCAGAACCTTATCAAATTATGTCTTTGACTTCTTTTTTTCTTTTAGTAATCACATCGACAGGATGCCTTTGAAAGTCCCTGAAAAGAAAAATATTTGATGAAAGTAGTTCCCTCCTCTATTTCTCTTTTCCATCTCTCATTAAAACATTAGTTTGCAACAATTTCAGGATAAATTCCTCAACAGTAACTGCATATATCTAAAGGGCAAACCTGAAAAATACTGTTGTACACCTAAGTATCTGCTGAAATCATTTCAAGATTCTCATCCTTGCTATTTTCAGCATCACCCATCCAAGAAAGAAACTTTATTTCCATTACTTTCTGAGATGGTTGAAAACGTTTGAAAACTTTAAACTCTAAAGTAAAGATGAAGGATTATCTTTCCAAGGATGAGAAAAGTTTTTAGCCTGCTTTTTAAAAGATACATACTCTTCCTCTTCTACATCTTTCCCCCTCCCCTTCCCCAAACTCTCTAAAAGTGCATGAGTTGTGCGCTGCTGCTGCTCCCTCTGAAGCCGTGTAGAATTTCGTAATGGAATGTGAACTGCTCGTCCGGATCTGGGCTCACGTTCTATCTCCTAACCAGTAAGAGCAAGGGAGGACAAATCTGCTGAGCAAGGAGAAATTCTCTCCTCCTCTTTTTATAACCCATCAAGGATGCATTGCAGAACCCAACCCTGATCTACGCCAACAGCAACCAAAGAACTCACAGGATTCCGGTCCACCAGTTAGGTCCACTTAGAGCAAACAAAGTGGAATCCTCCTTGCTTCTACACAAACACAAATATACACACAGACACACAGACAGACACACAGACACACACAACTTCTCCGAGGGCACACAAAAAAACTTTTCCGGCCACCAACTGGACATCACCGAGTCCACTACCTCCGTGGCTCTGCCTGACAACAAAATGGGCTAGTCCCGAGAGTCCGGCGCTGCATCCCTGAAGATCGGAGCGGTGCCGCATTCCCACCCCACCCCCCAGCTCTCCATGGCCAAAAAAAGTAACACACACCCGAAGACAAGTTGGCCGCGCCGAGGGCACAGGCTCAGGCCGCTGGTACTCAACCGCCGAGCCGGGCAGGGCAGGGCAGGGCGAGCGTTCCCGGGCCGACGGACGGAGGAACTACATCTTCTTCGCGACCCCATCCAGAGGGGGAAAAAAATGCTGATCCACCGGGAGGGAGGGAGAGAGGGGTGGGGTGGGGGCGGGGGGGTGGCCTGGGGACGGGAAGGACCTCCCCTGCTTCTTAGCAACCATTAAGGTCGCAGTTTCCTAAGAGACCAAGGGGTGGGGGTAGGGGAGAGGTGGGGGGGGGGAGGGCGAGGCGGACGGTGGGAGGGGGGGGAGGCAGACGAGGAAGACGCCAGGAAAACTTTCGTGGTTGTGGCGGGGTGGATGCGGAGATCAAAAGGCATCTTGCCACGTTCAATTAGCAATAGCCCTCCCCCGGCTCACCTCCTCCTCCTTCCCCCCTACATCCCGCCCCCGCCATCCATCGCCCTCCCCCTGAAGGCGAACTCCCGACTGGGCAACGTAGAGTATAAGTAATGGATGCGAGGAAGAAGGTGAGATGAGGAGCCCACGCTTCCCGGCTGGTCCAGCGGGCGCAGGGCAAAAGTTCTACGAGTCCTCCCCTCCTCCCTCCTCCTCCTCTTCCTCCCCCCCCTCGAGCCAGGATCATCTATCTCAACAAGTCTCCTGGTTTCAGATGCTCCTCCGGCGTCTTCCTGTACTCGTGATGTTGCGTGTGTGCGTGTGCGTGGTGTGGTTCTTCCTCCCCATAATGTATGTTACACACTCACTACTCACACTCAGAGATGGGCTCCGAACACAAACACTTCCCTTAGGCACAATGCAAATGGAAAATAAGTTTCTTTAAAAGTACTCCCCGAATAAACCGGATTCCACCCCCCTCCCCCCCAACCCAACCAACTCCGTGTTATAAGTTGTACGGCTTGGGACTGTTAAACTTTTAAAACAAGGAAAAGATCGCTGGAGACTTGAAGAAGGAGGCCGGGGGGGGGGAAGAGGTGGCTTAGAGCGCACCCCCACACACACACTTCGGAGAGGCGGGGGAGGGAGAGACAGAGACACACATAGACAGAGAGATCAAAGTACGAATGTGAAAGGCAGAGACGGATGCTTCCACCGACCCGAGAAACACCGAAAAGGGAACAAGTCAGACCGAACTCAAAGCCCTCGGTACCTTAGAGCAGGCGTCTTCATCTCAACTTTTCGAACATTTAGAAAAAAAATTAAAGGGAAAAAAAAGCTCTCAAGAATGACTTTCAAATATGTAAAGGGGGGAGGGAAGGGGAAAAGTTTCCCCTCCCCTTTCAGGAAAGAAAAAAAAAAGTTGGAGGAGGGTGGGCGGAAGATGGAGAGTTGCGTTTAAAAGATGTTTCTTGCTGGCAGTCCGCGCACCATCCAAGTTCTGGTGGTTGCTGGTTAAAAATAAACTTTGCAGCAGGAGAAGGAGGAGATGATCTGGCCGGATTCCTGAGCTCAGGCAGTTTAATATGGATGAGCATCAGGTCCTGCAGGCAAAACGCTGCTGCTGCTGCTGCTGCTGCTGGTGGTGGTAGTGGTGGTAGTGGTGGTGGTGGTGGTAGTGGTGGTGGTGGTGGTGGTGCTGCTGCTGCTGCTGCTGCTGCTGGTGCTGGTGCTGCTGCTGCTGCTGCTACTCACAGGAGCTGGTTGGTGGAGAGTCAGCAACAGGGAAGGGAAAAGGAGCAAAGGAAGGGGAGGGGGAGGGGGGAGGAGGAGGAGGAGGAGCAGAAGGGAAAAAGGCTGCACAAACTCATCATCACCACTGCCAACCAAACTTTAGGGGGAAGAACGCACAGCGCGCAGTTTCTGGTTAAAGGTGAAGGCAGAGCATTGAAAGTCACTAATCAACTTTTTAAAACTACAAGCCACTTATCCCCCAAATTCTCCAAAGGAGCGCTCACAGTCAGGCAGCAGACACATCTTTGCAACTGAGTTAAAGCTAGACAGAACCACATTCTTGTACTCACGGTTAGCGACTCTACTGGGCAGAGCTGTTTGCGCCGAGACATGATTTAATGGTGACTGATGGGCTTTAGCGAGAGACAGAGGAAAAAAAAAAAAAAGGAGAGATGCAAAGTTGTTCCGGAAAAGGAATCAAAATGGCGTTTCTGGATGTGCAAAGTTCATCAACTCCACAATAACTTCCCTTCTTCCTCTTCTCCCAGAAGGAGGAAGATGGGCAAAGCATTGGGGACAACCCCACCTCGTCCCAAAGTGGTTTTTAGGGGTCGATTCCTCTACCCCTTCCTCTCCCCTCCCTCTTCCTTGCCCTCACTCACTCTCTCCCTCTCTCAGTGACTCTCCCTCTCTCACCCTGATAAGTAGACACATCACGTGTTGCTCCTGCTAGTCTCCTGGGGACGTGTTACTGAGCTGCTGCTGCTGCTGCTGCTGTTGCTGCTGCCGCTGCTACTCTATTCCAGCTAAAGGTTGTCCTCTCTCCACTTTGGGTATCCTTCAGCTTGGCTACCCTCCTGTTCTGATGTGCCACAATTTCCTACCTCTCCCCAACTAGGACTGTACAGAAACAGCCGTCATCTTTTGGGCAAATTTTTCCCGTGTTGTTCTCCCCACTCACACACATTCCCCGCACAACACACACACACTCACACATACACACCCCAGCTTTGTCTTTGCACTCCTGGAAGGTGCGAGGGGTAGACTGGTAAGTTTGGTGCTGCCTGGAGGGGGGAGGGGCTGCCCTGCTGTTAGAGAAGGGAGTAGTAGAGGCAGCAGCAGCTGAAGTTGATCCAAATCAGCTTCCCTCCTTGCAAACTCTACGACCTTCTCCGCGGCCACTGTAGGCACGCGAGTGGCTTTTGCTTTCCAAGCCCCTAGGAATCATGGAGCTTCTTCTGTGTTTTTTTTTTTCCATCTTTCACGCTATTTCAACCTTAGGTTTATTTTTAACTGGGTGAAAGGGGAAGAGGGCTTAGGGATGCTTCTTATTTCTGGTGCCTTTCTGGAAGAAATAACACTTTGGAAGCATCCAGAGAAAGTTAGCTGTCTATTGAATCTTCTCATGCCACCTGCTGCCATTGCTTCCTCCTTAAAAATAGCTGACATTTTCAGAGCACCTGAAGGTCTGCAAAGCACTTTTATGTGTTATCTCATTTGCTGTCTCATCTTGGGCAACTGTCTGAGTGTTTTCATAAATTCCCAGCCATCAGCCCCAACCCCCTAGCAGTTCCTTCTTCAGACATCCTGCTCACCATCTTAATCCAGGAAAAGAGTTAGTAGGTGATGGAACAGTAGATAAAGGAATATTAGCACCACTCCACCCCTACTTCAAGTTAATTCACCTCCAGTAGGCCCTCCCACCACACCTCAAAGTGGGAGGAAGTTCCCAGATGAATTTGCTTTGTGGGGGTACTGTCTGACTCTCTTTTAACTTGACACTTCCTGTCAGCTCACAGCACAGGAAAATAATATTCAGACTGGAGTAGATGGCTGGGGAGCACAAACCAGAGTTAAAATCCCTCTAAAACATGTTGTAGACCTCTCTTTTGCAAAGATATCCCTGAGAAGAAAAACATCGACATTTATCCCCTCCATTTTCTCCCCTAATTACTTTCTTCTCAAGCCCTTGCAATCTTGACTTCATACTCCCAACACTTGACTGAAACTGCTGTCTCCAAGATTAACAATAATCTCTGACGGTATTTTGTCAGTTCTTACTCTCCTTAATAGCTAATAGCTTGAACTGTGTGCAACTGGTGATACTGTTAACCATCCCCTCCCACCATATCGTCTCTCCTTCTGCCTCGTTTAACCATTCCTCAGTCTTCCTTTGCGGGATCAAAATTTATCTTCCTCCCACTAATGGGGGATGGGAAGGAGACGCATCCTTCTGGGCTGTATACTAGGTTCCTGCCTATATATAGTCTCTCTTGGTGATCTCATAAATTCACATGTTTAGTAATCTTCACTATACAGATGATTCCTAAACCTATATATTATATACAACTAATCTCCCTTCTGAACTCTCTGTCTCACATTGTCAGCTGCCTACTGGACATCACTGAATATCTTGTAGGCTACTCAGATTCAAAATGGGAGCAGCTAGGTGTCGTAGTAGACAAGAGCACTCTGGAGTCAAGAGGACCTGAGTTCTAATGTGGCCTCAGACATTTGATACCAGCTGTGTGACCCTGGGCAAGTCACTTAACCCTGTTTGCCTCATCAAAAACAAACAAAAAAAGATGTTCAAAATGAAGGGTGGTATCTTTTCCCCTAAGTCCACTTGTCTCCTAAAATGCTATGTTTCTATAAAGGGTACCACCATCCTTCTAATCCTTCAGTTTCACAGCCTCAATTCATCCCTGATTCTTCCACTTCTCTTAATTCTTCTTCCTCCCCATATCTAATGAGTAGCAAATCTTGACAATTCTACCTCAACAACCTCTCTTGCTACCATTACCTTATTTATTCTGTTCACATGGCTACTACCTTTGTTTTTAGCCTCTCATCGGCTCTCACCTCAACTATTAATTATTTATTAATGTTTCTCAATCACTGATCTCACTATGTCACTTTCTAACTCAAAAATCTTAAAGCAATTCTCTTCGGCCTTTAGGATATAACAATGGCCCTGTTACAAAGATGAAACTCCTCAATCTGGCATTTAAAGCCTTTCACAATCTGGCTCCCAACTACCTTTCCAGACATTTCATCTTAGTCTCCTCAGTGCACTCTATGTTGCAGCCAAACTGGACTACTAGCTATTCCCTGAACCTGATATTCCATCTCCTGTCTCAGTGCCTGGAATTCATTCCCTGCCTCACCTCTGCCTCTTGATTGATTCCCTAGCTTCCTTCAAAGGTTCAGGTTAAGTGCTATCACCTACCCTTTCCTGGTTCCCCCATTGATCTACAGCTGCAATAGACCTGAAAGTCCATCTGGTACAACTCCTCTCATTTTACACAGGACAGAACAAGACCCACAGAGAAAGAGTGACTTGCCCAAGGTCACACACACGTAATAAGTGTCAGAAATGCTATTTGAGGGGCAGCTAGGTGGTGAAATGGATAGAGCACCAGCCCTGGATTCAGGAGGACCTGAGTTCAAATATGGCCTCAGACACATAATACTTACTAACTGTGTGACCCTGGGCAAGTCACTTAACCCCATTACCTAGCCAAAAAAAAAGAAATGCTATTTGAACCCACACCCTCTGACTTTAAAGCTAGTGTTCTTTCCAGTGTACCATGTTGCCCCAGCCATTAGGGCTCTTTTTCTCTCCTCAACTTATGTAGTATTGATTTATCTGGCTAAATATTATATCTCCATATATTATACCAGAGTATAAGTTACCTAAGGGTAGAGACTTTTTTGCTTTGGTCTTTAAATTCCCAGCCCCTATATAGCATGGTGCTTTGCTTTGATAAATGTTTACTGAATGGAATTGTGCTGCCTCCTGGCCTTCCTGTAATGTAGTAAAAAACCATAGATGATGATTAATGCAGGCTAGCCTTTATGTCACCAACCTTAGATGGCACTGAATGGTGCTATGTCATCCATTTACTCCCCACCCCATCAGGAGAGCCCCATGTAATATCTGGTGCTCTCAGAAGGCTCCTATTTCAACTTCAGTGAGAAGCCAGGTTACTTCCATATGTGCTTCTATAGGAGCCCCAGCTCCTCACCATGATGTACCCTGGCTAGCTACAATGACAGGGAGTGTGGGAAGTTACTATAGTTCCTCTTGGGCCTAGTCTTGTCTGTTTCCTCCTGAAATGGTCCTTCTTTATAGAGCTGTTGGTCATTTCTTCTGCAGTGTCCCCTAAACCTCTATAAGCAATTTGTGAAAAATGAGGGCAGCAAGTAACTTTATTTTTTGTGGTTTAAAAGGTTTTTTTTATTAGCAAAAATGTATTTTTTTTCTTCTTCTAACTCTCCCCCAATTGGAAAAAGAAGAACAAAACCCTTGTAACAAATATGCATAGTTAAACAAAACAAATTCCTGCAATAGCCATGTTAGAGGTGACTTTAGAACCTTAAAATGCACTAAGTAAAAAAAAAATCACTATTTATTAGTCTCCTAACATAATTGGACATAGTTTTTATTAACTAGACAATTTAGTTGCATATAAAATTAGTTATCAGTCATTGGGTCAACAAGCATTTATTAAGTCTTTACTGTGTATCAGGCACAGTGTTGAGCAACGGGGATTCAAAAAAAGGCAAAAACATGGTCCCTATTCTCAAGGAACTCTCACTCTAAGGGAGGAAACAATATGCAAATAACTATGTACATACAAGATCTATAGAGTGTAAATGACTGATAAACTTAGAAGAAAGAAACTGAAGGTAGAGAAGGGGGAGAGAGCTTGGGGAAAGCCTTTAGAACGTGATTTGAGCTTAGTTTTGAAGGAAGCTGGGGAAATTAGGAAAAGGAAGTATTATGTAAGAAGAATAGAAAGGTAGGAAGAGGCTAGGATGTAAATGGCTTTAAATGCCCAACCTGATTTTATATTCAACCCTGGAGGTAATAAGAAGCCATTAGAATTTGTTGAGGTGGGAGACAGGGTAAAGGGGAGTGAGTGGTTAACTGATCAGACAGTTTAAGAAAATCATGTTGGC